GCCAAAGAAGCCAAAAATATATCCCTGTCTTGGTGACTAAACGTTCTCAATTATCGACTGCTAGTCGCCATGCTATTGCCTTCTACGGTTCCTGCTCCCTCCCCCAAGCCAAAACAGAAACACATATTACTGTCTTCGAACCAGGACGGATTGGTGTCCATCAGGCCCACGCTACTGCATATTTTATTATCGCAGTCGCCAAACTTGAGTTGGCAACGCAGTGGTAATATTGTCTATCGAGTTAATCCTCGGATACATCAGCACCCTGCGAGTTAGGAGCCAGGGCCTGATGGCTTCAGTTTGCCAAATCGCGTCGACAACAATTCCCACATCTCAAGATTTTGTTGAATATTTTCTACCATGTAGTATGCCTACGGACTTGCTCTTAAGGAAATCTGACTCTTCTAAGTCAATTGTACAATTTTAAAATTGTAATGAATGCAGAGTGGTTTATTTCATTTTTGTAGGATCTGCATCTGCGCCGCCAAATAATCTTCAGAACCGGCTTGATTTTACGGAAACGTCCCAAAGCTACGCAAAATAAAGGCGTTTTTAAATAAAATGTTTGAACTGCATGAAAATTAGGGGGCCTCTTGAGCCTTAATCGGCATTCATTATGAAGAGGCCCGGCTAGTAAGTTCGAATTACGTCTGATGAGCATGAGAACCTAAAAGCGGCGCCTATGTATGTATGCCCCTCCATTCTCCTCAAAACTGATTGCCAGGCATGTGCACACTTGGTCCCGCCTGTATATCAATGGTCTGGAGAAGCCACACGAGCTCTCATTAGCTGTTACCCAGAGGCCTGCTAGCCAGTCCAAACGAACTATCTGTATCATTCATGTGCAGAGGGCTGATGGAATCCGCCTTGAGGCTTCCAACGCTTCGGAAGAAATGCGGCCTATCTACACTACGGTCTCACAATGAATTCCGCCTTGTTTAAAAACCTTTTTCAAACATAGAGTTGTATAAGGCGGAGGTGGTACAGCATGCAAAATGTACTGACGTCATAAATAGTTCACGACCTATTTCTCAGTTACAAACGGTCAGGTGATACCATTAAAGATAGAAGTTCAATGAGAACACAACCTCGAGCACTCAAAAAGGAATGAAACATAACCGCCCATCTGCGTGGCTACTCAGCATGCACTGTTTTTTTATGTACAGAGGATGCGTCAACAATCTGCAAACCCGACTCTAACGCCGGGCATTAAAATATTTTAAGTGTCGAAGGAAGTGCGTTCGCTGATCAGTTTACACGACATAGGACGCTCGTCCTATTGCGCCTTGGAGTTCAACTTAGAGTTCCCGCAGGCAGACTTACGAAGATCAGAATTATATGTGCAAATGAAGTAGTATTGACAACGACAATTGGGACTGGAAAGGTCATTCTTGGCTTTGTTACCGTCATCAGCCAACCATTCGCAACTCCAGGTTTTCAAAACCTTCGATTCGAACCGGGGTTCTTTGGTAATCCAGAGTTTTTAAATTTATTGCTCTATCGTTTAACCACAGGCCCGTTTCCGTATAAAACTAGTTTATGTATATATAAGGGTAATAGCTTCAGAAGTTATAAAATGTATGACATGAAGTTAATTGATCCACATATGACGTTTTATGGTCAGATTCGAAATTTCAATGAACCTTCGAGTTGAATGCAAGAGGCTGCGATAGAATAACCACGTAATGTCCATTCTACAAACAAGTAATATTTCGTATAAACTGGAAGGCAGACATCCCAAGAAATGTAATTTCAAGGAAAGGCGTCCTTTCCCAAAGGACCTGAGACTACAACGATTATAAGTCATACAAGGTCCAACGGATAGAACAAGCGGTTGCAGTCAAATCATTTTATGTGGGTCAGTCTCTCTATCAAGCACTGATTTGTAAACGGCTTAGAGAAGAGGGTCAGGCACCGAGGATATCGAGAAGTCAAGAAACATCAGCCTTTTAAGCGGACGGAATTGGACTTAGAAGTTGTTGTCTGGGTACTCTGTCAGCTGGGCTACCCTGGACAGGTTACTCCAATGTAACTATTTTGTATTATATACTTGTTGGGCAGATATTTATCTCAAGTGCATAGTGCATCTATAAGATTGCTAAAAGTGACGACTTGGCGAAAAAAACCAATAAGTTCGAATTTATCATACGAGATCATTAAAAGTGAGCGACAAAGCACAGTGTAACTTCATTGAAGTCCATGAGAAAGGGTTAACGATATGGTATAACTGCCCACCAAGTAGGTGAGTTCCGAATAATGGGCAACTTGGGTTAAAGGTAAACTGGTCTAGGTAGACACATGACGTGGGTCGTACATCAGAGTCAGTGTGTTCTGATTTCGTGTAAAATGTTTAAAATTTATTAAACTATAAGAGGTGTTGACCATCTGGAAATCCGCATTAGACCAAAATGAATTGTTCGCTCTCCCAAAAACTTTCAGTGTCACACAAATGTTTGGGTAACTTAGTCAAAGGGATAAAACGTCGCCCAATTTTTTGTAAACTTTCTTAGCAAAGCAAACCTCAATTAAATAATAGTTAAGATATGGTTTTCGAAGTCTCGGAATAAAACATATCTTCAGGAATAAGATAAAAATGATTCTGTGAAATCAAAGGTACTTAACTGAGCAATTATGTGAAATGTTAATCGAAATATTGAAATGTGTTTTTAAATAGTAGGGTAGGAATTGTGATATTGATTTCGGTCCGGTATACTTCGAAGACAGTTTAATAAGGACAGATGACCGGCTTTTGACTAGACTTCTTTCTGTTAGGTTGAAAAACTACACTCGATAAAAACGACAATTTAAGTAAGCTTACACTTCCCCTTCATTTTCAGTGCCTCTATAAGTTGAAATGTATCCTTTGGTTACCACGAAAAAATATCTGCTTGAAAATTACGTTTTCCTATAAATCTTATGCCTGGAGGAGAAATTCCTTGCGGTTTACAAAGCTTGTTAATTATCAGATTTTATTATGTCGAGGAATGTCCATTAATACAACATCATAAGTAACCGTCTATTAAGGCTACGTCTGAAATATGCAAAATTGCCCCCATTCACCACAAACTGTTCTTTAAAGTGAACAACCGAAATAAACGACTTTTCTTACACGAAAAATATACAGCATGTATTTTAGAAACTTCAGGCCCAAGTACAACTGCACGTCGAGTTTAGCATTATTCGACAAATCAAAATCATATTTTATAAAACCCAAAAGTACCCTCCTGCAAGTACGAATTGTTAACTGGATATAATTTCTGCGAAATAGCGTGAGAAAGAATACGTTGACCCATGTTTTCTATAAAATATATTTGCATCTCTAAAATCGATAAAAATCAGAATACGCATGCAGTTTGCCAAGTGTAGTGCCCGGTACGAACTTCAGTCAAAAGCCGAAATACTGTCATAATTTTTTATGATATTTTTGCACGATAAGTAGTATTATAACCGCAACTAAGTAATTCTCTTCAATTTAAAACAAGTTCAATAATTTTGGTTAATATTTAATGAGGCAGGCCATCTATTGATTTAACCAAGATTTTTCTGAGGTAGTTCTTTATTTTCCATTTACACCATACATCCTGTCTGTATCAGAAACTCAGAAACTGGATATACTTGCAACCTTGTTTTGTTTTTTTATCTGCAGGTTGTGGTTTTTAAGAATGTGTCGTGTGTGTGAGAACCACAGTGTGCACTTGGTAGTTTGCATATTCAAGACTAAGCCCTTAATTTCTTCCAAAAGAGCTATTGATGACTAGAGATCGACCAGTGACTACCTGTATGTTAAGGTTGCTGATGGCATGGTTGCGAATTCGTGAGCGTGTTTTCAGCCTCTGCTGAACTCATGTCTTGTCGGTAGAAAATATAATTCTTACGAATTGTAGCCAGTTCCCACTTCAGAGGAGACAGATCCTAAGACTGATGAATGATATGCATATAGTGCCAGCTACTGTTAAATTTGGGAATCGTTTTTGCTAAAAAGCGCACGAACCGAGTAGTCAATGAAAACGGCTGATTCATTGAGGTATTTGAAGGGGTTCTGAACGCATTTGATATCTGTTGGTGGTCAAATGTGTTACAGATAACCATCATTATACTGTTAAGTAAAACAGTAGAAGCCTTACCACAGCAGTGATATTTAGTCAACTATGACACGACGTGAGCTCTGCACGTTGTTGCTCTCAAAAAATAACAAATGATTTTTTAAATTCAGAGAAGATCTTGAAGCTTGGAGCCAAAAAAAATTAAAGCATTATAGATGCGAATCACTCCTGTCCCCCTATCCTCTGAACTCTAATTTATGCTGACATGCTGCTTGTGCGTCTTCAGGATACAGGTGCCTACATGGAGAATTTGAAATCGTTTTGGCATCCGCGGCCCCCACAGATCTTTTATATGCCTGAGACACTTATGGACTGTGAAACCTTTATA